GTTTTTTTTTTTAATTATAATTTAAGAATCATTAATATGATCAGGATCATTCTTCCGTTTTATAAAACCATGAAGAAACTTAGCAGTCAGTTCAATTATCTCCGGGTCTCGTGAAGCAAGGAGATAATGTACCTTGTTTCCATCCGGTTGGCCTGCTACCAACCTAAGGGGGGGCTTCTATAAATTCCACTCGAATGTCATTTAACAATTCACAGTGTAAGAGTACGTGCTCAACCGTTTCTATTTCTCTTCTATTACATCCACAAAACCTGACCGAATAAGGAATTTTCTTATATCTCCCCTCAAGAATAGCAGAGGGGAGAACATTAAAACGGGCCAACGAATAAGCTCTACACATTTGCAGCGAAGTCAGGCAGAACTGCAGGCTGTGGAAGGCCAGTAGTTCAGCAATTCGAGACCCGGGTGCCCCAAGACAGGGTGAGCTCCTGTCTCTGGTTCAAGCTCCTGCCAACCTAGCAGTTTGAAAGCAAGAAATTGCAAGTAGATAAACAGGGACCACTCCGGTGGGAAGGTAACAGCGTTCCGTGCGCCTCGGTGTTTAGTCATGCCGGCCACATGATCACGGAAACGTCTTCGGACAGCGCTGGCTCTTCAGCTTTGAAACGGAGATGACCACCGCAACCCTAGAGTCGGATTCGACTGGCTTTCGAGCAAGGGAACCTTTACTTTTTTACAGGCAGAAAAAGTCATATGGGAAAACACCATGTGGCGGCTTGAACAGTAAACCCGTAAACCCCCACCATGCTTAAAAGGCCATCCAAGAGTGGGTTACAGGACATAAATAAGCAGATTCCTCAAATATTTGGCTAGTGGGGAGCCTCTCGCCCAGTGGGACCGCGAGCTCCTCCCTTCACGCCCAAGACAAACAGCCTCACAATGTCATGGCAGTAGATGGATGACACCCAGAGCAACCAAGTCCGGAACACACAGGGGCCCCTGTGATGACGATTTAACAGTCCAGAGAGATAAAATTAGACGTCTGTGAACGCTGGGAAGTTAATCATTTCCCAACGGTTATATGGGATTTGAAAACCTCAGCCACAAAGGATCGGAGCTGTAATTCTTTAAAAGCCTGGGCTGCCGACTGGGGGTGGAGCCTAAGGATACAGAGGTTTGGGGAGGGGCCTCAGCAGGGGTCATTTGGTAGACAAGAGGTGCAGGAGCTCATTGGCATAACTCATTCGCATAACTTATTTGCATATGCCATGCCCCCTGCCATCACCGGAAGTGTGTCAGAAGGGAACACCCACCGCTCAGGCTCCGCTGGACTGTTTTGGATTGCTAGCTATTGGGGGGGGGACGGATGTGTAGATCTGTCCTCGCAGAGGAGGGAGAGCTTGGACCTGAATAAAACTTGGTCTTAAAGGTGCCACTGGACTGTTTTGGATTGCTAGCTAT